AAACATAACATAAAGCCAAAAAAGCTTATCCGAATGTGCCACGATACGCCACATCACGTTACTGCAAAAGCGTCTAGGAATCGACCAGGGCGGCCTTCAAATTTGCGGGTCATGTGAGAAAAATGCCACTGCCGTCATCCCTTAAATATATGAAAATGTAACAATACGACAATAACTCGAGATTATATTGGGAAAATTAACACACATACAGTACTCTACATGCAACTGCGGCAGTGGCGCTACTCACATGACCCGCAAATTTGAAGGCCGCCCTGGTCGATTCACGTCTAGACTCCTGCGGAGTCCAATAAGCCTATAATCAGCCACCTAAATTTTTTTTCTGGTGTTTTTTGGGTCGAATCTAGGTCGATCATTTTGGCCGAATCGACCTGAATTCGACCAAAATTTACCAATCGACTACCAATTTGTAGTCGATTTTTGGCCAATTTCTGGCTGATTTGTGGTCGAATTTCACCTTTTCGGCCAGTGTTATACCTTGATACAGTTATTGGGAACCGTGGTATGTATAATGATAAAATACCTTTCTATGTGTTGCTAGTACTTGATTAGTACGTTTTTTCATAGTTGAATATTGGTCGCCTTGCACGAGTTACGTTCAATGTCGATAGTCGTCTTAAAGTTTCCACTGAGAAAATTTTTACAGTAGAATTTGATATAATGGCTGAATATAAATTTCTGGATCAAGGTGAAAGTTCTACCCAGGTAAGATTTTAGAAAAATTCTGATGTTATCGATGCTTTTTTTTCATTATTATTTTTGGAATTACCAGAGAACTTCATCCACGGAATATCTATCCAAGTTGGCCCCACAACTTTGGTAAAATTTTATACTAATGGTTTGACTAATGTCCTAGTGTTGCAGGCTAAACCGAAATATTTCACCTTGGTGAAATATTTCTCTTTGGCGAAATATTTCTGCAACACTAACTATTTGTTGCGGACTAAACTGAAATGTTCGAAATATTTACCCACTTAACTTTGGTGAAATATTTCGGCTTTTAACGATAAGCTTGATAATTTGCTTTCTAATTATTATAATAGCTTCATCCAAACACTTGTTGACGCGCTTGGTGGCTCTTTCACGTTTAAAGGGTCGGATGATTTTAGAACTCCCTTTGTGATTCAACTCGACTTACCTTTAGCTGAAGATACCAATCCTAATATGAATACGAAACCAATCCCTCTTCGTTATTTCATAAAGGAATTTGAAGACATTGATCCAAGAAATTTGCTTAGAATCGGTATGGTTCGAGCACATGACAGTATTGTTACACGGAAGGCTCTAGCTTTTCTCCATGAATTTGAAATGCAATCATTAAAAATCATTACTCCTAATGATATTCCTTCATGTGATATTAACGTTCTCATTTTTGATTCAACCGAAACTACTAATGAAATTAATGAGACTATATGTAAAAATGCTCGGGAGGCTCACGTCTTAATTATTAGTATTACATTTCTTTTAAAGCACTTAACTATCTGTGATACGGCGCAAAAAGTGGGATTAGGTGATGGCGAGGTTTACTTTGTCGCCAAGGTACCAAATGCTTTTATAATTAGTATTATCATATGTTTTGAGTTTTTAGAATTCGAAAGTGCATAAGATCGATTTTCCGTTCGCATGATAAATAAAATTTCGTGTGTTAAATTTACGCCAAGGTTAGAGCTTGAAAACCCGCGATATAAAGAAATTTTACAATGAAATTTTTATGGAGCAAAAACGTATCTTACTGAGTTAATTTTTTTTTCGAAACGAAATAATTATACATTACACGAGTTGGATCGCCATGTGAACAGACAATCGACCCTATTCCCTGGTGTTGTTTTTTTTTTTTTAGTTTAACCAATTTTCATTAATAGCCTTTGACCAATGTGAAATTTTGGAACGTACTACTTTCTGTGGCTGATGTTATAAAGAAAAGAACTCGTAATATCGAAAGTGCAACAGATTCTGAGCAAGATTATCAAGGTGAGATTAGTATATATTATTTATATTTTAAATATACATATTAAAATAATATTTTTTGGTAAAAGCATCAGGTTCTCATCAAGATGAAACGAGTGAAATATCAGGAACTAGTGAGGAATTAAATTTCTTTCGGGATTAACTAGTTAAAAATCGGGTTTCGTGCGTAGTATAAAGTGAGATGTAAAATTCATGCCATAGAAATATTAACAGTTAATGCAAACGTCTGTACTTACATAATATATGTATAATCTATAATATATATTATATTATTAGAATAAATGTATACTGTACATCTCACAATATGCACTTTTTAACAATGACTTTTAGTTTAAAGAACAATATTGTGTTTATATATGTATAAGATTCATACTAGGCTTCTTTACTTAATATATGGCAAAAAATAATAAAAATTTTTTTTAGGCATTTCTGGCATAATATCCAATCAAAATGTAAATATATCACGTGACACATATTTCGCGTATCACAATGGTTACACAAAGTACAATTCCCCCAGATCAGTCCGACGAAGCAAAACAACGAAAAAATTACAAAAGTGGAAAATACAAAAAACGGCCAT